CCTGGCTAAGGGACCAGGCTCACCCAGGCATGTGGGGTCCTGGCTAAGGGACCAGGCTCCTCCAGTTAGGAAAGCAGGAGGACTCAACACAACCCCTGGAATTAGAGCATAGACTAGATTGAGGTCGAGTGCAGGCTTCCCTCTGGCTTCCTGCTCATGGTCAAATAGCCCAGTTTATTTCAGAGCCTGTTCCTTAGTTTGGAAAATAATCACCTGTCAGCTGATGAGGACTGGTCATCCGTCAAGACAGGTCAGCAAACTGTTCTGTAAAGGATTGGGGATGCATGGTCAGTCTCCGGGCACAGCTATTCATCTATACCACTCTATGAAACAGCCACAGGCTACATATAAATGAATGGTGACTAAGTGAATCTGTGTTCTAATAAAATGTTATTGATGAAACCTGGAAACTAGCTGGCAGTGATCTAAGGGCCACAGTCTGGTAAGTTTCATGTGGACTGTGCTGAGTACATGGGAGGGGTGTTGGTTCCAGGCCTGCTTATCCTCAACCCAGGGCCATCTGTGCCCTCTTTGAATCACAGGAAACTGACTCATGCAAATTACATTTTCCAATCCTCTTTGCCAGAAGATTGAAAGTGGAGTTAGCCAATGAGAGGCTAACTCAATGAGAGGTGGGAGCTTGGAAGTCAAGGAGCTCTTCATGCAGCCTGCCCTCCTGACGGCACCGTCTCTGCCCACAGCCCTTCCCCAGCTCCTGCTGGGCAGTCCGGCATCTGGATCTTAGTAACATCGTGCCTTCCTTTCCCCCATCTCACTGCTGGGGGGAAGCAGCTGAGATCTTGGCTCCCTAAACTTTGCCTAAACAGGGCGAGATGGTCCTTCAGGTTCCCACCTCACAGAGAAGACTACCAGACATTCTGCAGGACACAGAGAGAAGCGACTGATGAACTTTGCCAATAGGTGAGACAATCCTTCACATTTCCTGCTTCACTAAATGTCTGCCAGAGACTCTAGGCCTGTAGGCTGAAGATGGATGCCCCAACATTGTAGAGGAACTTGGGTGACTGTCCAGGTACTCAGGTGTCTCTGCCATTTCTAGAACTTTAGAAGTTGCTTACAATGCACTTCCTATTTACTTAGGTAATATTATATCCTTCTGGGGTCTTTGATAGAGTTGTAGACTAGATGTTTATAGCTTTCCTTGGTCATGATAAAAGATAAATTATACACAAAACTTTAGACTCACAAAAATAGGATAGATGATAAAATATTTCTAATTTTGTCAAATATAGACTAGATATTGTAACTATAATTCTTTCTTGATAACTATTATATATAATTTTACTGTATTAAAGTTAAAACCTTCCTTTTTGATTAGACAGAAAAGAGGAAGTGCTGTGGGATGTCTTTCTGTATGCTGTGAATATGTGTTGCTCTGATTAATTGATTAAATAAAGCTGTTTGGCCAATGGTGAGGCAGAATAAGGTCAGGCAGTACATTCCAACTGGAGAAAGAGGAGAAGAAAGGAGAGTGGAGCAGATGCTGTGAGCCAATGCCAGGAGAAGAAAGATATGAAAGTACTGGTAAGCCGCGAAGGCATGGCAATGCATAGATTAATAGAAATGGGCTATGTTAAGTTTTAAGAGCTAGCTAGTGAGAAGCTTGAGCCATTAGGCCACCCAGTTTGTAAGTAACATAAGTCTCTGTGTGTTTGCTTGGGTCCAAGCAGCTGAAGGACCAGGTGGGACACAGGGAAGCTTCTGACTACATTTTAGATCTTGGTTCCCAACACCCTCTGCCGGCTGACCCTCCTCCAGTAGGCCCCACACTTCAGTTACATCTGTGCTTATCACCTTGACCTCAATTGTCTTCCAAACTGGACCTGATAGACTTAGCTCTCAGTACACAGTTGTTGTTCTTAATTTATTGCTCTTAATACTCTGGGTAGTTTTAATTTCACAAGAGAATGTTTTTGCATTATGTCTGTAAATTGGTTATTACACAGTGCCTACAAGGAGAAAGGTAGACTCATTAAGTTAACAAGGACATAACAAGTACCTACTGTGTGCCAGGTACTATTCTAGTCTCTGAGAACACAAAGTATGCTGTACCATGACATAGCTGATGACTTTATTCACCATCCAATCCATCCCTTTCATGTTACACACAAGTTAGAAAGGCCCACCAACAAGCCTAGGTAATGTTTATTGGAAATGTTATTCATGCCAGGCTCTCATCTAAGCATATTAAATATTAATAATTTAACTTACTTAACTCACATAATAGCCCAGTGAAGTAGGAACCATCATTTTCTCATCTTAAACATGAAAAACTGATGAACTATGGTAAAAGAATATGTCCAGAAACATCACCAGCAAGTGGTGGAGCTGGGATTTGAACAGGGGCTGTCAGGGACTGCACCTCAAGTATCTCCCTCCCAGGACAATGAACAGAGTGGTCAAGGCCATGACAACAACTACATTCTCCAGTCCTAATGATACAGTCCAAGCATTAGTGACTTGGCAGCCCCTTGTTAGAATAACTGAGACGACAGCTGTAGAAGAAATAACAAAAAGTCATTATATGTCTCTTTATGGCTTTCGTGGGCTCCACAGAAGAATGTAAAAGTCAATATGGAACCTGCTACACCAGCCATAAAAAAACACTTGCAAATAGTCCAAAAGCCGACAGACACCAGGAAATCCATAAAATCAGACTTCGGCGGTGGGTAATGATCTAGTTAGGGCTTTTTAGAAATATTTTAAGCTGATAGTGCTTTCTTCAAATAAAAGCTTTTGGAGAGGGCATTCTCCTGGCATATAACAGTTGATGGAAAAGAGTGGACTTCCTCTCTAGCACTGGGCAGAATATTCTGGGAGAAGCCTCCTCCTTGTGTGCCATCTCCAGCTCTTAGAGGCTCCTTGACAAGTCTCCCCGGAGGCCTGTTTTAAAGCTATCATGCTAACTCATCTCAGGCTCTCTGAAGCGCTGAGAGGCAATGGGATTAATCCAAGGTCATGCAGAGAATTATGGTCAAAGAGTCAAGGTCAAAGGCAAGGTTCTGGGACTCTCATGCCATACTTGTGTCTCTCTGGTGGGCAGCTGTGGATTTCTCTTCAAGCCATCCACGTGGCAGCAAAGATAGGAACCTAAATGGGAGCAGGGTGGCTTCCTCACCCTTGATGAAGCAGCCCCACTTCTGAGGGTCTAACCATCATCAGCTGCGCAGCTAAAGCAGCATGAGCTAAGTGGAGAGAAAGCAGCTCTCTGATCCACCTGGGGCAACATTTGAAACTGCCCAGCAAGAAGCATTTCCCAGGACATCAAAGGCTCAGTCTGCTGTGCGTTGTCAAGGCGGTTGTTGATGCAAATCTGTCCCCAGGCTCCTTGCTCACAGTCCTTTTATGGCATGGCAGCAGGGTTCCAACTGTGTTTGAGCCCGGAATCACAGAGTACCCATAGGCTTCCACACTGCAGTGCTGTTACACAGGACGTGTTTTTCTGAGGCATTCTCTTAATGTAACCAACAAACTCCAGCTGCCATTTAACTGCATGGGGTTTCCAGATCTCAGCACGAGGAAAGGAAAACCCTGGAAACCCCCACCTTTGAGACAGCCCTCTGAGCCTAGGAAGCCAAAGACTTAGAGACAAATCCCTGCTTACTAAGCAGGAGAAGCTGTGGGCATAGCACTCGGGTGGTAGATAAGGTTCATTAGCCTTGCTAGGCAATGTCTGTTATCTGGAGAGGCACATTTCAGGTCAATGTTCAGAGAACATCCCTGAAAGTCAAGACATCTCAAACCACCCCTGTATTTCCCATCTGCAGATGGGGTGCAGTTGTTCAGATTTCCTCTTCTGAGTAGGCTGTTCTCCTGATTACACTGTGCCGAGGGCAGAGTGAGGCCATTCATCTGCTTACTGCTCCTTTTCTCTGGCTGGTTTCTCTTCTCTGCAAGTAAGCACCAACTGAAAACGCAGAAGTTGTGCTCCAGTTACCATCAAGCCAAGTCTCACGAAGACACGGGTTCTGACAGTTTTCAGTTGATGGATTAGATAGTCATTATTTCCTTCTGGCTTCTAACAGCTTTTCAACCTAGCCTTCATTCCAACGTTCTTCCCACTCGAAGATGACAGGGCAAATTAGATGCAGCCCATGCACTTACGGCTGGCTGCCTTTGCAGAGACCCTGAGTACCTAATGTCTGCAAGGTTATCGGCTTGCTTTGTTTTCTCTTCCAGTGAACTCTTTTTCAAGTTCCAGGAAACTGGTGAAGTTCATGCCGTGAAGAAAAAAAGTCAGTGTCCTCGATTGTTATCTCTTCTGCTAGGGTGTCATCCCGTGGGCATGACCAGACTTTGCCATGGGTCAGCATCACCCATTCTCCTGTGTTCCTAATGCTTCCACTTCCCTTTGTCAAAAGGCTTTATGGAGTCACAAGACTAATGTTGAAAAACTACGTTCAGCCTACGACATCACCAAGGCTCTACCCCACCTGACTTCAGACCCGTGGAGCTCAGAATTTCCCTCTTAAAAAGATGTAAGCTACACCTGGCCCTGCATGTCTGCCTTCCCAGCACTGGAGAGCTGAGGCAGGGAGATCAGGAGATCAAGACCAGTATGAGCTACATAGAAAGTTCAAGGCTGGCTTGCACTACATATGAGATCCTGTCAGTAATTATAATAATAATAATATAATAAATAGTTAATAGTGTTAGGATTGGAGAAAACTTTATTTTCTATTCTAATTCCACAGTGTATTTACTCTGATATAAAGGAAACTTGTCCTTCATAATCACTTTCCTGTCAGCATTCTAGTTTTGTTTTATCACCTATTCACATACCATTAAGCACTAAACTGTTTCGTCTACTGTGTTTTGAAATTTCTCAAGTGTGTGTGTGTGTGTGTGTGTGTGTGTGTGTGTGTGTGTTCATTTTTGCTCACATGTGTTCAGGTGCATGTAGAGGTTTGAGGTAAACCTGGATGTCATTCCTCAGTTGCCCTACACCTTGGGTTTTTGGTGTTGTTGTTGTTGTTTGTTTGTTTGTCCATAGACAAATTTCTCCCTGACCTGGAGCTCACCAAGAAAGCTAACCCATCTGGCCAGTGGGTCCCAGAGATCTAGTGGTCTCCACCTCTCCAGAACTGGGATTAAACGTACGCCCCCACATATAGTCTCTGGAGAATCAAACTCAAGTCTTCATACTTAGGCAGCAAACACTACCAATGGAGCCATCCCCCCAAGCCCTGCTTTGAATTTCATACTGAAATAACACTTCATTTTCTAAAAGTTATTAAATAAAA